GCAAAACATAGGACTAGAAAGAAAAAAATTTTTAATTCACGAAAAAACGAAGATAACATAAAATTTCTGCACATATCACGGATTTCAATACATTCACAAACCCTTGCAAAAGTCTTTTATTGTTTATGAATTTATTCTCTACAAATGTCTTTAAAAGCAAAAGAATATTAATTTTTTATTTCGACAACGTCACCCATGCATACAATAAATAAAGAGTGTATATGTATCCCCGATTAGCGTGGGCTTTGATATATATATGTAAGTATATGTCTGCGTTTTTGGCGTTTTGAAAATTGTGAAAATTTATACAAAATACATTTTTTGCATTAAAAGCGAATCTTATCTACCAAAAAAAAAAAAAAAAATAGAATGAAAGAAAAAAAAAATGAGCCGTTAATATATTTTATCTTTAAAAGTGCGTACTAATTAGTCATATAAACCTCCTACTCTTGTCTAAGATAACATACCCCTTAGCGGATGCTTTCTTGACTCTTAGTAAGTACTGAATCAATTAAATCCATTAAAGCTTGGACGGACGATATGACTGGCTGCGCAGGGTTTTAAGGCTGGCTGCGATTGCAACCTAATCTGGCCTAACCTAGAATCGCTGATTTATATGATTAAATGTTAAACACGAAACCTCTCAGCACTCAGTATCAACTAAAAAAAAACGAATTAACCATTACAGGTGGGACAAGCAAGCTATTTAATATCTTACAACCATTCAGAAATAATCGTACTGTACACCTTGTTGCCACGTAAAGCCTTGCTCCTCATGTTAACAATCGTTACGCGTGGTGGAGTCCCAAAAATAGACCTGCGTAGTCCACACTTACCAATTTATGCCGAATGTCAATTTATATGCCGAATCATTAGCAAATATCTTACCAATTTTTCAACATAAAATACTTAAAAGTAATCGAAAAAAGATTTATTTTTTATGAAAACTTTTATGGGCAACAGGACTCTAAAACGGCTCGTACCCGATTCAAATTATTGCCCTTCATTTAGCATATCGAATTAACATACATCACCGATATATGTCAGGAAAGATTAAGAATGGAAAAATGTTTGATATGACGACTTTTTCATGCCGTATTTTTTAAAACAGAAATTTATACGGGTAGCGTTCGTAATGATGATTCACTCCAATCTAATTTAAGAGCATTTGTGTTTTGGCCGAAACACGCTCAGTGTACCAAATTTTATCGACATATATCTTCATTTGCACTTTAAATGCAAAAATACATGGACGCACAGATGGACGGACATGAATAAATCGATGCAGAAGTAGTAGTATCATAGGTAAGGCCTTGTGTACACATGCGTACAAACTTGTTGTACACTTTGGTACCTATCAAATGGTTCAACGTTTGAGTCCTTTTAGTCCCATCTCTATTGTTAAGTCAAAAAAAATTCTAATTTTCCTTACTTTTAAAAGCAAAAGCACATATCACTAAATACTAGTAATAGTAGGACTTTTTAAAAGCTATATACGATAGCAATAGCTCAGCAGAAAAATTGATTTAGGATAAATGTTTCGATTTTCAATTTTGATTTATGAATATTGCCCGTAAAAACATTATATTGCAAAGCAATTTAAATGTCTTTCTTTTTATACGTAATTGTAAACTGAGCTAATCGTGCAAGCTGAGATGATATCCTTCTATAAGTAAAGCCTTAGAGGGCAATAGTTTAAGATATCAGCTACTAAACCCAAAAGAAAGTTTAGCGGGTAGAAAATATTGATATGAAAACGCTTTATTTGATGACCTGAGATTTCATGAAAGTTAGTCGATTTTCTAATAAAACAAATTCTATAGAAAGGAAAGCAAAACCAACTACGCATTCACGGCATCGCACCTGTGTCGTGCGGCTGGTGAGTGGCGAAGAGTGGATTAAGGGACCAAAAATATCGCATTGAACTCGGATACTGGTACCTTGCTTGTAAAAGGGTTATAGGCAGCAGAAGGTTCTATTGCGGAAGGCAAAGTTCGTTGAAAGAATCGAGTCGAGAGACTTGAATTGCTATATTCAAATGTACAAGACCAGAATGAGAATGAAAGCGTTGTGAATATACGTTCAAGTAAATAGTCTGCGAAAAGATCTCCTGAGAATTGTAAATGTACCAACCACAAGTCAACGCTACGACCTTAATCTAAACGGAAGTTGAATCAATAACGGAAAATTCACAAAAGACGGTTTACCTTATAACATATTATATTAGCGAGTTTATATTTTCCTCAATTACATATACATGATCGGTTCTGATGAATTCTATTCAAAGCGTGTGTAGGGTCCTTAGAGAATGGGAAAACATTAACAACCAAGGTGTGAATCCCATAAAATATGATATGGAGATGAGATGTAATAACAATAAGAGTTGAATGAGAAGGTGGGTGTGCATGAAGCAGATATTTTTATATTGTCCAACTTTTTCAATACAAAAGCAAGTAAAAACACGACAGTTGACCACGGCCCACCATTAAATATTGTGCAACACCCTATTTTTATTCATATAACGGCTTTTCAAGATAAAGTGTTACTTGGGAAATGGTAGAAAAGTTGTCCAATTCTAGTCCTTTTCAAGGGCGGAGCCACATTTCATCAAAATATCGCAAAAGTTGCAATCTGTGGGTTGAACACAAGACAGACAGATGGACAGACGGCATTCTGAGTTGATTGGTATAATAAAAGGTGCGTCTATCTCAAGCCCGCTGTGTCCGCACAAACTAAACTGAATATACCCTTGCACCACAGGGGCTGCAGGACATAATTAGTAGTAACTTCTTTTGTACACAATTATATTCGTCAATTTTCAATTTATCAAATTCGGAAAAAATGCAAACAAAAATTTTCATGTCGAATTAGGCACTAATTTATATCTCGACGTCGAAGCCATCATTCAGAAAGTAAATTTCGAATCTGCGGTGCTTGCATATTGTCCAGCAAACCATCCCATTCCAAGTCATATTTATCCAAAATCAGTTAACTTAATGTAGAGCTGAATATTGCCATTAATTCTCTTTTGAAATTGCTTATCTTTGATATACATTTATCTACACATGATATTTGCTTCCAAGTTCCCGCACAAAACATAAGCACATACAGACACCGACTCTCGGGAAAACCCGCTTTTGAGTTCAATATCTTGCTGCTAGGGACACCGCCCACACCCTCGTACCGGCATCTATATCTATTCGCGATGGCTAGTAATTAATTTCCGTGCTTGGGTTTGAGTTCTCAAGAGATTGGGTGATAATGAAAGTCTTTGGTATGATTTTACTTTCACAAGGTCTTTCAATGACTTGAGAAGTTGATGAAGAAAATCGTATAAAGATAAAATCTCGCGTAAACTGAAGGATGACTGTAATTGAATCTACTTTTACCACTTGTATATACATCAATAGAAATCGTATGAACTAATTATAGATCTATTGATGCACATCGATATATGTGTGCACATAAATGCATATGCGTACATATATGTATCAGATATTTTGAAAACATATCAATCTTTATTAATGGAAATCGCAAATCAATTTTGAATAATGTACAGATACCAGCCATTCATCTTTGCAATCAATGAAATAATTACCAAAAATGCTCAACATATAGAACAGAATTAGAATTACCCATGCATTTAAGTAAACAATCTAATCACACAGCAGAAATTGAAAACGCTATTGAAGATTTATAAAGAATTCTAATGGATTGATTCAATGCATTGTGTGTTGAATGGGAGAAATTTTCATAATAAAAACAAAAGAAGGAAAATGCCGACTTATCGCAGTTTATACTTCGAAAGGGATAATATGAAAGTATTTAAAATTATAGGGATTTTGAAAAATATTCTAAGCACTTCTAAACTAAACCTAACCTAAGCTAAGGGAGGAAAAGATATTTATTTGTGGAATTCTATTTTATTCATCAACTTAGTTTTTTTGCAGAAGGACAAAATCATTCCAGCGGTTCTCTAACTGTGCCCTATGGCATTTTATTTTAATAGCACAATGTATCATTATCAAAATCAATGTTAATAGCTCAGTTTCCACAATGATTTGATCATTAGATCCAAACCTGCTCCTGGATATAATAAAATTTCTCCATTATCTTATCTTGGTATTCGTACAGCAAAGACGGCACCCATATAGCGATACTCGTATAGTCATCTTTTCCGTGCCTGCGTCCTGACCTAACATGTGATAGACATGGTTTTTGGACACTTTCGCTATCACATTAAATGGTCGCGCAGCATCATTTAGTGAACTTGAACAGTATTTCCACTCACCGTCTCCAAGCTGTTACGGTCACCTCTCAACTCAGCTACACGAAATTTCACGTGATGGTAAATACTGGTGAAGAGTGCTCATACGTATGGGGTTGAACTCGAATTTAATTTGCGTAGGCGTGTTCAATTTTAAAAATCAATAAAATGCTTAAGGGCAGTTAATCGTCTAATGTTCAATTTTTACCTATTTACACAAGAACAATCACACCTCAGACTGCGCTTTCAAGATGGCTAAAATTTTGATGAGTAATTTTAAACTAACGCTCAAATATATTTCAGAACTTGGATGGGCAAGAGCTGCTATATTCATGTGCAAGTCGGAAATTTTTCAAACAAGACAATCTTTATATGGTTCCGATAAATTAATCTTTCATACCTTTCCACGCAATATGAATTAATGGTCAAGATAGTGTGATACGTGACTCGGCCGGAAAAATAATTTAGTCGTGTATTAATAAATTATAGGTAACCGAACTTGAATGACGACGACGCGGATATTATCTAACAATTCTGGGCAACTAAATTCTAAGGTTTTGAGGTTTTTTTTTTTTTTGAAGGTATGTTTAATAGTGAAGCTGAAAGTACAAAAATGTTATATTAAATAAAAGTCTACAAGTCGAGTTGCTTCCGTATAATTCACATCCATCACACACACACCATAGAGTGATATTTTTAAAAAAATAATTTTCTATCAAATGTCTTATTGCAGGCTGTCGAAAGTATTGAAGAGTATAGCGCATATTTCGAAGAACACACTAAAGTTATTAAATCTACAACTCAGGTAAGAATTTTCATTTGTCTATATAACGACGTAATAAATTTATTTTAATTAATTTATTAATTATTTGGCCGGCATAGACGACTGAACATTTGGTTAACGGTAGATCAGAAACTACTTATAGAGCTGTTGCTTTCGAGAAATTCCCAGTACCTACAACCGGCGGAATTGTTGTTGGTAAGTAAAATTATTTTCAATACCACTTCTGCTCTTCATTCTTCAATCCGTGTGTTATTATAAAAATGATCATTCCACGTGCTCTCGATTAATCTGTTTAGAATTTTCACTTCATATCTTTGATGAAATAGATTTTGCCGATCAAGTAGTCCGCCTTTATTTAGCCCGACCTGAAAGGGGTTATCAAATATAAACTTCTTGTCTGCTTATACCAGGCATCCCGATGACAGAAACATTTTTAATTGAAATAGACCTTCAACAGCCTTCAACAAATATTTTAGACAAATGTCGAATTAATTTTTCTGAAATTTGCAGAGTAGAAGTGTGTCAGCTATTTTCGTGCTGTTTCCTCATAAACAATCGTTTGGCAGCCCGATCTGCGAATCGTTATTGCTTTGATCCAAGTGATAAAGAAAAGCTCATTTTCAAAACGCAGTTTCTTGCAATTCAGTTAATAGAAATTTTTTTCCAATTATTTATGGACCCTTACATGGCTTTAAAAAGCGTTATGTGGCTTTAAAAAGCTTTGCTTTGGGAAATCCCCCGAATTCTTTTTTTGCCCGAAACACATATTAAAATTTTCTGGAGAGCAGGTAATGGCATATTAGGTTTAAAGCATAAAATGAGAGTTTGTGTGTCAGCCGTTTCTTTTCTTAAAAGTGAGTTTAAGTGAGTTTATTAGTGAATCAGTCTCAGTTGCAACACGCAAATCTTTGTTCATTTCGTTCTTAGTAAGTCCAACATTTGTCTGCTATAATTAAATAAAAGTAAAATCGGCTAAAGGCTTAAAGCAAAGCCTCACTATTACAAAAAAAAACCAAGAAAAATATACTAATTATTATTTTAACCCTCGTAGCACAGTACATGGGCATGAGATGCTCAATTCATATTAATTTTGCTTAATTGCTTCTTAAATTGTCATCGATTTATTTGCATTCACCTAAAACGAAGTAAAAATTAGCGCCAATATTTAATGAATAGTAGTCTTTTAATAGTAGGCATTTAAACTTGATCTCTTAGTTTAATTGAACTTCTTCAGCCGCCTGAACACAGCTGTCCCTTTTACATACCCCTTCTCTTTTCATATGCAAGATTTTGATTATTCATAATTTGAGATGGCAAACAGGAGTGCGACGAATAACTATAACAGGCAAGGATCCGTCGTAAAATACCCTAAATCACAATACAAGCAGTCATGTAACGAATTTTCAAAATTATATGTTACATGGAAAGTGGTCAAAAAATTGGTCCCATCCGATCCATTTTCAATTGCTTTCATTCATGTGAATATAACAAATGTGCCAACATTTTTGGTAAAAAAATGACGGCCTGTATGTTGAACACCAACAAGGACGGCGAATAAAGGGACAGACATGCTTAAGAATTACTTTCTGAATCGATCGGTATTTAAAGATGGGTTTATCTCCAGTCTTTCTGACTGTTCCACACATCCGCATAAACTTCTTATCCTCTTGTATCACAAGTACTATCAGGCATGAAAATGTAAAGGGAAGATTTTTCATTGTGGTAAGGCGATAAACATCTTGTCTGTGAATGGCAACGTCCAAATCTTTATCTTCGTTCTGCGCGTGTTACTATTATACTTACATCACCACCAAAAAGTGAAATTTCTTTTCATTCGCAGAAAAAATGATCTATAAATGTCTAAAGGGGATTATGTAAAAGGGCAGATAAAAATTACTTAATGAAATCTAGAATGAACGATTAAGAAAACTTCGTTCAAACAAAAAAAAAAAAGGACAGACTATCTTTTTTAAGACATTATGTAATGATTTAAATGTTGTGCACATGTGGCCTTAGTGACACTTGGTCGTCAACACAAATATAAATCATATATACAACCAATGATTTTTGGAGTGATTGCACTATCCGGGCGAAACGAAGCGTCATTGATGGTTACACGAATCCTTTTAATTAAAGCAACACATTTATTTAGCTTTGCATGCGAAGGAGAATTGACTCCTAATAAAATCATAAATTCGCATTCAATGCTTTTTGAAATAAAAATTTAATCGTCGCAGGACCCGCGGAAATCTACCAATCTACATGTAAACCTACCAGAAGAACTAAAAAAAGTTTTGTGCAGTTGACGAAAAGTGGTCTAAAAGCTATAACAATTCTAAAGAAAAACAAGTAAGAACATTATAGTCGCACGACCATCGCATACCCTACACTTTGCCTGGTATAGTTGTTCGCTCGTTTTGGTAATAATACTCCAAGCCAGTAGACATTATTTTCATGCAAAGACATAATTTTGATGTAAGCCCGCATATTGAAAGGCGTTTCGTGATACCGCCTATAAGTAGAGGCAAAAATAAGAAACCTACGTGATCCAAATTCCCTACCGTTAATTTTATTTTACTGAAACGCTCCTACGAATTATAAAATATATCATCAGATACCTTATCCGGAGCGCGGAAAGAAATAGATCCATGTTGTTCAAATAACGTCCAATTAATTTTTTTATTTAATTACTATTATGAGCAAATTTCCATCACGAAAAAATTAGCAATTAGGCTTTTTTGGCTTGTAAGGGTTTACGTTTCATTAGAAACCTTATATGCGGTGCTATTCAAAAAGGAGACCTACGTTGTCCAAATTCGATAAGATAGACTTCTTTGTTAATTTACTATTATCAGCCAATTTTCATCATGAAATATTGAAAATTCGCCCTTTTTACCATATAAAAATTTAGTTTCCGCAGGAACGGTTATACGAAGAGGGTATTCAAAAAATTGCCCCATCCGGTCCAAAATGTTCACACCAATTTAGAATGACAAAATACTGCTGTTTAGTCACTTTTACCGAGAAATTTTAAAAAATGTAACTTTTTTAAATGTAACGACTTTTCAGAATGGGGCGTTATATGGGAAACCATTAACCGAATAGCTTTCGTCCTTGCGCCAAAGTACGTCACTGTACCAAATTTCATCAAAATATCTCAAATATTGCGACCTGTAGCTTGGACGCGAAATTACATGGACAGACATCCGAAACGTTAACCCACTAGTGTTCGGCCCTGGGCCAAAGTACGTCAGTGTAACAATTTTCATCAAAATATTTTAAAAAAATGCGACCTGTAGCTTGAACACAAATTTACATGGACTGACATTACAGGGACGGACAGATGGACAGACAGGCTTACAACAATTTCGAAAATGCTGCTGAATCGATCGGTATAATCGAAGGTGAATCTACCTTAAGCTTTTCTGGATGGCCTACATCCAGCTAACTTAATATAACCTCTACCACAAGACGTGGAGGGTATAAAAATTAAGGAAATTATGTCCAGCCACAAGCCTAAAACCGGAAAGCTGGGACATGGGCGAGCACAATAGGTCTTCTAAGTTGCGGTACGATTTGCCCGCGCATTTAATTATAACAATAATATATCCGGCTATGGTTGAATCTTTTCTCCCCGCTATCGTCATCTTAGAGAACGTTTAAAAATAAAACATCAACAACGAGTGTGGCCGATTTTTTCCTGTTTTTGCACAAGTACTATAGAATCATGTAAAGATTATTTGTGAAAATTTTTGTGTAATGAGCGTAAAATTTGAATTTTTTACTCTTGTTGAAAACGCCGGTATATTTGGTTTATTTTCTTTTGCAATTGTGATCCATGAACGAATTGGGCCGTTTTCAATATCAACGTGCCTGCAAAAATTTTCACTACTTTTGCTAAACTTTAGAACGATATTTGAATTTTTGCGATGTAATGTTCAACATAAACGGACAAGCGTATAAATGAACATATTTAAATCGATTAGGAGCTTAATACTGATCAAAATCAAAAAAATGGTGAAACGGTGAAAAACGACTAGACGCCAACTTTGTATAAAGGATTTTTTATCACAAACATTTAGGACCTTTTGAAAATGATTTTTTAATACTAATAGAGAGGGGTCCACCCCTTTACAGGTGATCTCCAAAAAAAAATTTGTTATTTTCTTAGCACCTGTTATAATATATCACAAAACATAACAATAAAATATTAAAAAAAAAGAAAAACTCTTTTCAAAATTTCAAATATGGTGTCAAATATTCAACACAGAGATCACAAATATAACATTTCTTTATGTCTAATGTTTATGAACGAACACAGTACAGTTTTGTAAAAATATCTTAATTAACATTATGATTAATGGGAAAAAATTATTTACTTATGCGTATGTGTGTGTGTGTGTGTTCCCTCACCATTACAAAGAAAATAACTGAAACGATCATTGATCGAATGATGGATTAAACAGATGCGTTACATGCACACAAAACCTATTAAAATACCTTAGCTTCAAAGTGATTTGATTAAAAAAACACTGAAAATTATACCTCCCATGCCTGCATAAAAGATCATATACATGTAAAACCTAATAAAACAAGCATCATACGAAAAACTTGTTCTTTTTTTTTTCCTAATTTTCTTCATACGCTCAATAAGTTTTCATGATGTTTCACTTTAAATGATCTGTCGTTCCCTTATGTCGTCTTCTTCAATTTGTGTCGCACATTTGTTGCATTGATTTTTCATTACTTGTCAAATGTTTGGACAAATGTACGCTCATATCATCAAATGTATGTAATATACAAAACTGCAGACAGACGTTGCGATATATATATATACATTTAAAAAAAAAAAAGTTTTATTTTTTTGAATTATTTCTCATTTACTCAAATTTTGAACAATTTTGATTTACGAAAATTATTTTTGGTCGCTCGTTGGCATCTTTGAATAAATTTTGCAAAGGAAAATATACCCTGGAATTTCGCATTTACGTTAATTTCTGTTCATTTCTTGTGTCGCATAGTGATCTAAATTTTATGGTGCATTTCATTCAGTTCTTCACTAAAGCTCGAGAAATTAAATAATGAACATTTTTTTACCGTCTCTGAATACCTCACCCGCCCCTATTTACTCTTGCACGACGCATATGCATTGATATTTGAGTTCATAACATGTGCAGAAGAGGACATGCTTGGAT